TTTAAAACCCAACTCTCATGCCATTAGAAAGAGGATCATGAAAAACCTATAAAAAGATGGTTCATGAAATTTTAGTTCACTCATAAAGCTAAAGTCCGCTTGCTCTAGCAAAAAATGCCCACTGTGGGTTGTGCCATTGTTCTATGTGAAAAATTAAATGATTGATAAAATTTAGTATGTATGGCTTTGGTCGAAAACTGAAAACACCGAAAGTGAAAAACGCAGAATGTATAAGATCAATAATAAGACTGTAGAAAACAAAAATGATGAAAGTGCAAAATGTCGAACGGTAAAAACAACGGAAATGTTAGTTTGGAATGGACTTGTATTTGTTTAGTTATTATGTAAAAACGGCACCGAACAAGCAGAATAAAATGTGTGCGTTGGGGACTGGGGCGCGGAAATATCATCTCATCACACAGAGCGGCAAAAGATTTCACACAAAGAAAATGACCGTGTGCACAAAAGATTTGTAGATCTGTCTGCAGAGTTTTCGAGGTATTTTGAGATTTTCTCCACTAAAACAGTACTTTTTCTCAAAAACAATACCATATTCGGAATCAGCGTAAAAAACTGCATCGAATGGTGTATAACTTATCTAGTTTCGGTCACTCGATTTTTGAAATTTTTTTTCTTCGCCGAGAACAATCGTTTTTCTAAGTCAGAAGCGGAAAAGTCAGAAATCTCTTCGTAACTCTCAATTTTCTCCAACAGAACGCAATTTCTATGGAATAAAAATATTAAATTGGGAATCAGGATCAAAAGACAAATTGAGGGATATATATCTCTATTTTATCCGAGCTTTAATTTTATTCGAATTTTCACGTTGAGAAGATGAGATATTTACCAAAAATAAAAATGAACAAAAAATTGCCAAATACACGTCGGTCGATTTGTCTTTTGATCCTGATTCCCAATTTGATATTTTTATTCCATAGAAATTGCGTTCTGTTGGAGAAAATTGAGAGTTACGAAGAGATTTCTGACTTTTCCGCCTCTGACTTAGAAAAAACGATTGTTCTCGGCGAAGAAAAAAAATTTCAAAAATCCACGTGTATAGTTTTGGCGAGGAGCAGACAGTGGATCGAGCCATGTACAAATATTGGCTCTGGGATCTCTACAAAAAACGAAATAAGGTTCGCCAGTTTGTGTTTAGAACTCTATCTGTTTCGGACGCTGTGAGAAAACCATTTTCGCTCCGAAACCTTGAAACTTACTTTTCTAGATTCAGTTATTGACACGGAATCCAAAAAGCTTCAGCGCGAGCGTTGAAAGCAAAGCGCGAAAAAGTTATAGCCATTTTTTAAAACCTTACTTTTTGAAGTTACGAGCACCTTTGGGGGTTTTCCGATTTTTCGACCGTTAAAACCTTTTCAAAAAGTCGAGTCACTTATATTCGTGATCAGCGTCAAATTCTCTATCGAATGGTGTGTGAAAAAGTCAAAAATAAATTTCACTCGGAGTTTGAATTCTGTATATCTTATATGCCCTTGTCTAACCATTACTATTATTCAGAGCACCTACACATTTTTATAGATTTTGGTTCGCGAAAACAGTCTAAAGTCAGTTGGAAAATATCTCATAATATAATCGTGACTAGTTCGAAAATAATCTTTATTGAAGCATGCATAAGAGAAAAAGATAAGAACAGATACTTTATATAAAGGTAATAAATTGATTGAATATTTAAATCTGATTAAAAAGCAAGAAGAATGATCGCTATTATTTTCTGTCTAATGTTAGCTGGTATGTAATTAGATTAAAAAAATATGTTTTCAATATTCAATACGGTAATCACTCTTCTTCTAGCTTATACTAATGCTCAATTGCAAACATTTAGTTCAAGTAAGTAAAACAACAAATTTGTAAAATTATTTCATCTTTTCATGTTATTCAGCTACATGTGGTTTGAGACCATTAGTTCTCGGCAGAATAGTGGGTGGTGTATTATCAAGAGCTGGCGATTGGTAAGTTAATAAAACGTACTTCTCGAATTTGGATGAGGCATTTATGGCAGGCGGATTTAAATAAACATAAACAAAGTGACAAATTTGAACATTAACTTACCTATGTATAAATTTGAAGCTATTATACTGCTAAGCGATGGACGATTTTAGTATAAACCGCCTCCAGAATAGTAGGAATATAAGAAGTTCGGTCTGAAATAAACCTTTTAAAAACATAATAGAAGCTCATGGCCTTATGGTTTGTTTCAAGGCATTTAGATAATTTAACATTATTATTTTCTGTGCAGAGAAAATAGATTGTTATAATGTAACGCTCATAGACATATGTCTATGCCATAAAATATACTCAAGCAAAACTAAGTAAGCGAGAGAATCTAGCTGCTAAAATAGCTGCAGTATCCGCTTGCAACTAGATTAGCTAGATAAATGTACGACGAGCGTAATTCGAATTTCAAGCACGATTTTTTTTTCGTCTTATATTTATACATCATTCAATAGAGCTCGTCGAGTTGATCCAGCGTTAGCGTTTCAAACATAAGTTTTGACGAAGAAATTTTGAAAATACTAGAAGAACTCTAAATTTCGAAAAATCGTTCGACTAGAAAAGATATCAAAAATTTCTTTCTGTTTCATTTTGAAACTTCCAACCTTACTTTTTCTGATTCAGCGTATGAAACTCACCCTAGAAATATTGTTTAGAATTCGGTCCTGTAGAATATTATCAATTTAAAAATAAAGAGTCGAGAATACTTTAAAGGACGAGCTCTATTGAATGATGTATAAATAAAAGACGAAAAAAAAATCGTGCTTGAAATTCGAATTACGCTCGTCGTACATTTATCTAGCTGCAAGCTGACTGAAATCGCGTTCTAGCTGAAATAGCAGCTGCATCGTCTGATTAATAGAGTAATTTATTGTCCAGTTAATTGACAGCAGTTGGCTGCACTGATTTGAAGCTAGGTTCAGTCTACCTGCATTCAGATGAAATTTTCAGACAAGAGTTACATAACATGGTCTAAAAGCATTTGTATTGTATGAAAAATGTTTTCAGTACAAAGCGCATTAGAAAACCACCTAAAAATGATGATTTTCAAAGTTGACATAGAAGATCATGTCCTTTCATTTAAGAGCAGGTTTGGTATATTTTTAAGGTTAGAACTATCAGAAATGTAACGAGAAAAAGTAAAAGTCTTTTTGTTCCACTTCTGCAATGGAATGAGTCGTATAATATCAATAATCGATTTGCTGCTTTTGGATCCTGAAAAATTACAATGTTTCTGATCTACTCGGTTCTTCTCTCCTTATGTTTTTCAGGCCATGGTCTGTAAGTAATAAATGTTCGATGGTATAATTGTAGTCAATTTCTTCGGTTTTCTAAGGGTTCGTTAATGTCCAATGGTCGTCATATCTGTGGTGGTTCTCTTATAGCCAAAACTTGGTTCATTACAGCCGCCCATTGTATTGCAAGGTGAGAACAAGGAAATTTTAACGTTACGAATACCTCTCTCGTTCATCCTTTAGTCTAGCACCTTCACAATATCGAGTTCAACTTGGTGTGCATGATCGTATAGTGCCGGTAAACGAACATTAATTGCAGGTCGCAAAGCTATAAACACAAAGAGGTCACGGTAGAACGTATTCTTTTTTAATCTAAACAGATCGAATAACTGAACAGCAGTTATTAACATACCACATTTGTTTTGAATAATGCTGCCAGTGGCAGTGCTTCTACCTGTGAAAACTTTTGCATATAATCTTTTAATTTCCCGACAGTTTATGATTTTATCTTCTCAATAATATTTTCGATAATCATTTGGTGGCTCTGATCTATTATTCACGATATACTCTTTTATTCAGGAATTCTGGGCGAAAACGTTCAGTGTTAGACGAATCATTTCTCATCCATCATACAATAGTTACTTAGAACAAAACGATATTGCTTTGGTGGAATTAACTGTAAGTATTTCCAAAGATTTTCAAATATTTTTCTTTTAACCCATTGATGACTTTTTTGCACCATCTTGTAGACATCGGCTGAGCCCTACAATCAATACATAATGCCTGTTTGTTTTCCATCAATAAATCAAGATTTCCAGCAAAAAACATCTACCGCATCAGGTTGGGGTGACCAATTTTCTGGTGGTTCTCATACGCGATATCAATACGAAGTCGAAATGCCAGTGTTAACTAATACTGCATGTAAATCGAAATATGCTTTTAGCGGATTAAATCCAGCCACACAAATTTGCGCTGGCCACATCGGCGAAGGGAAAGACACATGTCAAGGTGATTCAGGCGGCCCATTGGTTGTTAAAGAAAATGATAAATGGTTTTTAGCTGGCATTACATCATTCGTGAGTAAAAGAGTGCTTTTTGCAGAGCCCCAACTTAAATTATTTTATTTGTTTTTTGTAGGGTTATGGATGCGAGTAAGCTTTTTTAGATAGCATTTTTCTGATTTTTCGCACTAATTAAATTTTTTTTCTGAGTTAATGGATGTGTTCATCATTGCCGAAGTTATTTTAATTTTGTCTTTTTTCAGTGATGGTGGAGTGTACACTAAAAGCTCCGCTTTCCGAACATGGGTCACAGCTTACACTGGTGCACTTCCAGGAACAGCAAATTAGAAGAAGACCGTTTGATAATAGCCGTTTTAGAGACATCTTCGCGATTACTGGTTCTTTCTTCGCACGTGTATCTATATATGAAATATCGATAATTTAATCAAAAATAAACTTGGAATTACAAATGTATTTAAACTACAAAGAGGTTTGTTACGTTGTTGACAGTGATGTATTTTGAACTGTATTGCTTTGTACTGAAGCAAAAAGTGTAAGGTATGACGTATACATAGAGAAATTGCGTTCATTAAAGTAAGTATTTAGAACTATATATACTCCACATATAATTATGTAGAATAAAGGAGATATACATGATGGTGACATAATAAATGTGCTTAGTTGTTGAAGGTAATTGTCTCGCTATTTGCTTTTAAAATAACATTGTTATTGACTTTTGTGTGTTGTACGGTTTGGACAAACATAATCAATCTTTAGATCTGAAAATGTTTTCTTACAGGTAACTCGACATGCTCTACAAGACAGACGGATCAAAATCTCTTCATCTGCATTTTAAGATGGGTCTCGAGACATCTGTTTTCATAAGTTGGTGGAATGGTCAGAAACATTTTTACGAAAAGACCATGACTGTTTTATGAATTATTTGAAAAAAGCGACATTTCCAGTATTTCAGCTACTGTGACGCCGGCTGCAAACCACTTCTTTCCAGCAACGTCTCTTGCAAGTGCGCAAAAAACCTAGAAATAGATGTGTTTTTTTCTTACTGGAACGTTGAACCCAAGATTGAAAAAGTCTCATAATGTTCTCGATATTTCGTTCTCTGTTCTATTATCCTCTCTGATTATCTCTTTTAAAGTAGCTGGAATAGAAAATCTCAGTGAAAGTGGTGCAGTGGAAATCTGCTGACTGAACCGATAACTTTTGACAGCTGTACAAAATCTGTCGACATCACAAACTTGTGCGCAGCACAATTGCTCTCTATAGAGTTTAAACACTAAAATACAGGCAGCTGTCGCTCATGTGCGGCAGGCTGAAAGAAAGAATCTGATTGACAACGATAGCCAGTCTTACTGTTCCTAATATTGAACAGTAAACCATAGGAAAGAGTCAACGGAATCGAAGTACATGTGCAAGTTATTTTGTGACACAAAGAATCATTCCTTCTGCTAAATAGTTAGCTGATAAGCAACAATATGTTGTACTCCAAAGAAAATAATAGTAAGAAATTTGAAAAGTCAAAGAAAAAACGTGGCAGCGCAAAAGATGATATTACGTTTTTCCTGGAATATTACAGTTGTTGTAATATGTTACATGCCAATCTATTGTTAGAAGTTACCTGTCAATAATAGCTGCCAAAAACTACCGCAGATGATAATATTTTCTAGATCTATAGTAAAAAGTTGAGCTCGATCGGATCATTTTTTCCAGGGATCGTAATGTGACTGGATTACGAAGTTGGATTACTGAAGTTTTCCAGACAACCCATAGAAGAACATCTCAGAAAATTCTGGGCAAAAATACATCGTTTTTCTTTCTCGATGTTCTATCTCTGCTATAAATGTGACCTCGATCGGACGTGTGCTCCGCATTTGGTAACAGGGTGAAAAAAGGGGGGGGGGGGAGGGGTACCCTTAAGAAGTAACAATTTTAAACAGCGTTCATCAATGAGTGAGTAGACTCTTTAACAAGAAAAATATATTTCCTTGTTATTTGTTCTTTTGTTGTGTACATGCTCTCACACTAAACTAACTTGCGTTAGTTTAATCAAATATTATTACTTTATACTGTCTAGTACACTGCTATTTGAAATCGAAACAATGACTAATCAGAATGTCGACAGATGCTTGAAAAATGATATACATTCATTATATGTGTTATACAAGGCTACTAAAAAATGCGAGTTATATTTGCTTAAAAAAGCCACGTATTCACTGATATCAGTTTGATGACACATACATTTGTTAAAAGGGTATGAAAAAGGAGTGCTTTTTGACAACATATATAAGACTAAATACATTTACTTAAAAAGCTGCTAATCGTCACGAATTTGCAAACATTTTTTAATGAAAGAGAAAATGTCTACATCTGATATTTTGACACAACGATTAAAGGATGAAATTAATCATATACCAAGTATTTATTCATCGACAACAATGGCTTGTTTAAGATGGATCCGTCAGTATTCTACATGTCAATCAACTTTCTGTTCATGTTTTTGTATTCCATTTTGGTTTATTATGTTACCAGTCGGTATTTGTTTTGATATACTTGTCTATTTTTTTATTCTAATTATTTTTCTATTGATGTTTATATTAAGCTTGTTAATCGCACCATGTCGTCTCGCATGTGATTATTCATGCTCGGATGCCTGTAGTATTTACAATATTTATTCCTATAGCTTAAGAAATGCATTAGACTGGTGTAAAACGTTCTATTTTTCATTTCAACTCTGTTGGCAATGTTATTGTGGAAATTTAGGTGAAACAGAAGCGCCCATTTGTTGTGTGTACGTGTGCTGTGAGCCTTGTAAAAAAGCGTGTGAGAATGCAACAGAAATTGAAATTACTGGTACTCCTTGTACAATATTATAAAATGCAAAATAATAGACAATAACTTTAACATTATGGTTCGATCATAAAGCGAAAAGAAATTTATTAAATTTGGAAGTTACAATAGGTGAAATTCGACCTTTTTCTACTATGTCGCTGACATAAAATAGACTAGCTAAGAAAAAAATTGAGTTGAAATGACAACTTAGAGTAACAGACTCAGATTGAATCGATGTAATGTAAAAGTTTTGTTAATAATGCTGAATGGTCTTGAAGTGTACCTAGAAATAGCAGAAAAGTGTAACAATTCAAGTTTGATAACTAGTTGTAATCGAGAATTAAAGCAGTGTAGTGCGCGTAAATGTTTCAAGTAACTCTGAAGAAAAAATGATAATGACGCCGATATATGCCCTCCTAATTTATGTATTGTTTGGAAAATCATAATAAATTGAACTTAATCAGTTTCCTCTTCCTTCCTTTTCTTAACATTTTCAATTTAATTTACGTTTCGATCCATCAAGTGTTGATATCTACTTGGCACTAAATCGAAGTTCGTTTTGAGGTTATTTTATTTATATTTTACATCATGGGCCATTGACGAGGTATGTTTCGGAAGTTTTTTAAAGGCATTTTGTTTCTAACTAATAACAAAAAGAACATGAAGAAGGAATGCAAAAATTTCAATAGTTTTAGTTCCTTAAAGCGGGGTCCTCCCACTCGGTTTTTCCTATCAGTTTGTAGAGGACACTTTGAAGTATATATTTCAATACTTTTTTCGGGTACCAGACCTGTAGTTTTTCAGAAAATAACTTTTTAAGTTTAGTCACGGTTTTTTGCTCCATTTTTAAAAATTCAATAAAATTTCCAGATTTCTATATATAATCTCGGTTTTGATGTCAATCGACAGAGGACATCAGGATGTATCTACAAGAAATTCGATCAAGCTTTCGGTCAGACTTTGACTGAGCTATTCCGCTCTGACCTGCGCGATGGCATTTTGGAGCAAGAAGTATTTTTAAAAACACTTTGAATCAAATTCGTTAAACTGGACTTTTAAATTAAATTTACTAAATTTTGAACTTTTAAAACCGTATTTTAATCTAGTTTAATGAATTTTGAAAAAACCTTTCCTATTCCAGGGAATCTGATTCTGAACAACTTTCATGCTCATTTCCTTGAAAATACTTCCTTCGAGCGAAATTTGGTTTGAGGTGTTGTGAAAATATTTTCACTTGCGAGGGAAGGTCCCCAATTGTGAATCACCGTTTCGAGTGGGAGATATCCCAGTTTGCAGAGCTCGACGAGCTGATTCTAGTGGCATAAAGCATTTTCCCCAATGTTTCTTGAAGACCCAATTTTCTAGAAAATCAGTTTTTCAGAAACTTTAAAAAATAACCAAAACATTTTTAAATAAGATATAATCGTAGCGCGCACATTTCTGATTAAAATGAGACATTCCCTAGCTCTACATGCCGTTTCTTTGCAAAGTTATAGAATTTACAAGAAAAGCCCTGAATTAATTTCTTCTTATTTCTGTAACTTTGAGCCGACAATGAACATTTAGAGCTTTTCTTGTAAATTCTATAACTTTGCAAAGAAACGGCATAATGATGAATTATTATCAAACCAATTTAATTGTGGTATCTCATTTTTATTCGGTCCTGTTTCATTATTTATAAATTTAGTGACACATTTATATCATTTCAAATATTGACAAGAAGTTTAATTTAAATATAAGATAAATGAGATCAAATATTTTTAAATATAATTTCAGTTTTTTTAGCTATTAGTTGTTGAAGATTATAAATGTACTGTGGTAATTCAGATATATGAGATGTTAATATTGTTGGAGGATCATTATGATATAAACGATCATCATTTTCTGTTAAAAAAAGTACATCATTAGTAGTAGTAAATTTAGGTATCTGTATTCCACTATATTCAGTATTATCACTTGAATCTAATGGTTCAGTTTCATTAATAACTTTAGCCAAATTAATGTAAACATACGGTGGTTGCACAGTGGGCAACTAAGCGGACATTAGGCCAAAAAGTCGATTTCGAGTGTTTTAAAAAATAAATAGTCCAAAATGTAGCCCTTTAAATTCTCTATCCAATGGTGTATAAATGTCTATTGTGAAAA